TGGGATTCATCCAGCCCAGCCTTTCGCATGATGTATTCTGCATATAAATTAAATAAGCAGGGAGACAAAATACAGCCTTGTCGTACTCCTTTCCCAATTTTGAACCAATCAGTTGTTCCTTATCCAGTTCTAACTGTAGCTTCTTGCATAGACAAATATGTCTTAAGTACCCACCACCCAAAAGTACAATAGAACTTCCTTTGCATGTCTGGAGCCTGAAGCAAGTCAGGTGATGAGATTTGGCTTCCCTTGGCTAACAATGAGCCCAGCAATTGTCACCTCTGGGGACTTCCTGGGGTCCTTTTTCAAGGGGAAAATAGCTTTGGAATGGAGGAAACTGGCAAGGAGTTGATTTTATATTATTTTAAAGCTAGGTAACTTCCCTGAGCTGTCAAGTTGGAAGGATACATTCAGGCATAATATTTGCATCATTTAACAACTTTAAAGATGTGCCCACCCCCCACCCCGTAATTTCCGTAACAGCTTGCTCCTAGTTTCCAGATGCTACCAAAACTTTTATTCAGAAAGGATATAGAAAAATCACAGGGACACTTGAGAAAATTATTTTTGGGGAATTCCTATGTGGAATAACATGGTCCACAAGTTCAAACAAATATGTAAATCAGAATTTTACTATCTTTCAAATTTCACACTTCTTGGAATGTTGTAACAGTTCTTGGATGCTTTATACCTGTATTTCCCAACCTTGAGTCTCCAGCCGTTTTCAGACTACAATTTGCATCATCCCTGACCACTCGTTTTGCTAGCTAGGGATGATGGGAGTTGTAGTCCAAAAACCGCTGGAGGCCCAAGGTTGGGAAACACTACTTTAAACATTCTAAAATGCATGTTTAAATGTGAATTTTGAGAGATAATATGCATTAAAAGAAAATACTTTGAAAGAAAATACATAAAAGTGCTTTGAAAGAAAATACATAAAAGTTCTAAGCCTGTGCGTATATTGAGATGAAATTTTTAAGATCATCAATTAATGTGGAAATTGATCTGAATTATTGATAAATATGTGAAAATTACACAAACAGAAATATAATAGATTTGCCCATTACTATAAAATTACTCTTCAAGATCATAGAATCTTAGAGCTGGGAGGGATCACAAGGGTCATCTAGTCTAACCCCCTTTCAATGCCGGAATCTCAGCTAAAGCATCCATGGAAGATGCCCCTCCAACCTCTGTTTAAAAACCTCCAAGGAAGGAGAGTCCACCACCTTTCATGGGAGTCTGTTCCACGGTCAGAAAGTTTTTCCAAATCTTTAATCGGAATCTCCTTTCTTGCAGCTTGAAGCTATTGGTTCAAGTCTACCGTACAGAGCAAGAAAAAACAAGCATGCTTCCTCCTCCATGTCACAGCCCTTAATATATTTGAATATATATCTCGTCTCGGTCTTCTATTTTCCAGGCTAACCATACCCACCTCCTTCAAGCGCTCCTCATAAAGCTTGGTTTCCAGACCTTGATCGTCTTGGTTGCCCTCCTCTCCACAAGTTCTAGCTTGTCAACATCCTTCTTCAATCCTTCCACAGTCACTTACAGACTCATTGTTAAAACCGTGTTTATGGAAGACAATCTTACTCGGCTATGAGTGATCGCCAAAGAAGAATAACCACAACTCACAGACTGACTGTTGAATTATTTGTTCTAGAACCTTCCCTTGTATCGATGTCAAGTTCACCGGTCTTCCTTTCCCCCCTTTTTGAAGATGGGGACAACATTTACCTGCCTCCAGTCTGTAGGGACCTCACCTGTTCTCCAAAAATTCTCAGGCTCTGAAATTACTTCCACAAGCTCCTTTAGAACCCTTGGATGCAGCTCCCTGGAGATTTGACTTCATTTCAAGTAGCCTGGTGTTCCCTTGCTACTTCTTTTCCTATCAAAAGTTTCATATGATTTGTACCACTGTGGAAATGCTGACCAATACCACAAGTGGATATTGTTTGAGAAGAAGTTTGGTAACTTAAAGATGGGACAATCAATAACTCCACATGTCTCTCCTACTCTTCAGCTCTATGTTTTATTTTTTGTCAACAACACATTTTAACTGTCTGCAATCTCTAAGCCAGACGAAGCCACCTCTTTGTAGATAATGGTGCCGTATGTCCCTATCGCAAGTCCTGGTAGCCACCTGCAATTTCTACCATAGCATATGGAGGGAGAGAGCATTGCACCAAGTGAATCTCATTCGTTCTGCATGATTAGTCCTCGATCTCCCAGTACAGATGTTAACACATATGGTCCCCATCACCACCCCACTAATCACACAAATAAGAAAGAAACTTTTCTGTTAACTTTGAGTCTCAGATTGACAGAACTGGTCCCTAATTATCCATACTTACTACTTTCCCTCCTTTCAGCTGCTTAAATTAGCACATGCCATTCCGGCAAACTTTTATTAACTACAAGATACAAAAAAAATTGCAATGCTTACTCAGTACAAAATTGGCACTCAGAAAAACTTCAGAGGATACAAGGAGAGCAGGGCTGCCTAGCATTGTTTGCAATCTACTCTTACATAACTCCAAAAGCCATCCTTAGACTGAAGCTCTTATTATTTCTGGGCCATTTTTAAAAATATATAAATTGTTGCACCCAGTCAGCACTGTATTCCAGAACAGTTTCCAAAATAAAAACTATGAGCTGGCAATGGTCTTCCTACATAACTTAACAAACCAATACTCGGGTATGCTGCACAAAGGATATTCTCTGAAATACCAGTAAATCAACCATGAGCTCAAATGTGACGTCTCGTCCCACAATGATTTGGTTGCTTTGCTATTTGATGCATAGACTACCCTTCCGTACAAAGATTCCTAGGATGGAATACAACAAAAGTAATTAAAATAAAGTGATGATCCCATAAAACATCAGTACAAATAAGGAGCAGCCACCAAGAACCAGTAAAAAACAGTGAACCCATAAAATCCATCAAGCCACAAAAAAATTCACACACTGTTGGGATTGCCTGGGCAAATAAAAAAGTATTCACTTGGTGCCAAAGAGAAATCAACATTTGTGCCAGGCAAACTTCTCTGGGAAAGGCATAGACTATACAGGGCATGGGGCATCACGAAACACACACACAAAAAAAACTTCATTTTAAAATGTGCTCTTCCAGTGAACCCTCAAAATGCCCCCTTTTAAAAGTTATTGCCAAACTTTCACACTTGCCTAGCACAGGTAAGTCATAAAATGGTTTTACTTACAAATCTCTTCAAAGGTCAGATTCATGTGCTTTTACATACAAGCAGTCAGAAAAGATGCACAGGCAATTTAAAAAGTTGCTTAGTTGCTGAAGCCCACATGCAGAGGGAGAGAGCAAAAGACTTGGTTACCTATTCCCTATTATACTGTAAATATGGTTATTTATTTACAATATAAGATTTATCTGTACTTGTCAAATTACTTTTTTGGCACATTGCTGTACATGTTGCTTGTGTTCCATATTTGAACACACACACAGGTACCGCTGTAGTGGGAAGTTAAACAACATTTCCATGCACTCTGGCACTCATCACGGTCCTCTGTACGCCAGAAGCAGTTTAGTCATTCTGGCCATGTGACCTGGAAAGCTGTCTGCAGACAAACGCCGGATCCCTCGGCCTGAAAGTGAGAGGAGCGCTGCAACCCCAGAGTTGCCTTTGACTGGACTTAACCGTCCAGGGGTCCTTTACCTTTTTACACACACACACATATCTCAAAAATATAAGTAAGCTCAAGAAACCTCATTAATAAAACAGCCATACAGGATTTTATTCTTTGATGTGGAAACAGCATTTGACCATTTAGAATAGGATCTGTTGTACAATATTTTAATGGCATGATATCCCAGTATGAAAATGGATTTGGCAAAGGGATTTCTCCTTCATGGAGAGCACGTGTTGCGGTGGGGTCTGACAGGCCACCCCCTCAGTTGCTGGGCGGAATCATTTAGATAGCCATTGGCAGTGATTGGGCTGTTTGGGTTACTGGGCTAATTTTGATGTTGTCAATTTGTGGGATGGACCAAACGTTTTTTAAGCTGGGCTCGCAGCTTCGCACTTTCTCTTTCGCTGTGTGCACCGGATCACCTGGAGCACTCAGACTGTCTGGAGGACAGTGGAGCGATCTTCTCATTGTCTGATTACATTTCTTTATTTCCCCCTTCTTTTTAACCCTCTCTAGTTCCTTAAATAATTTATTTCCCCTTTTTTCCTGTTTGATTTCCCACCCCACCCCTTACCCTGCCCTGTGGGAAGGTTCTCCCTGTATCTGTGAGCGCTGCCTGTGCGTAATCCTCCTTGGCTTGCCTTTCCCAATAGGGGAGAGCCCCCGTTAGGGGCTTTCTTTCGCAAAAAGGTTCCCCCCATTTCGCCTGTTTGTTAACCGTGGGGCTAGCCAGGGCTGTTCCCAGCTTAGCTGGAATCACTTTCGTTTATAGTATCCCCAAAGGTTAGCTTTATTTTGGGTGCGTGCAGCGCTGTTGGCCAAATTTTAATCTAGCCTTGGGCGGGAGCGCTATTTTGAGCTTCCTTTAATATTGCAATAAGACAAAAGATTCTTAAGAGCAGAAGCAGGGAAGCCTTCACAGCCTGCACATATCATTCAATCCTAAATCTGCTACAGTTAGCAGTACAGTAAATTGTTAAGTCTCTGTGACACATGACTCATTCTCTCTACAAGAATGTATCTGCTTGCAGGCTCAGTTGTTGCTAATGTATATCTGAGGCAGACAGAGGGGAGCCAGAGGCTCTCTGTGCCTCCAATGAGCACTCTGTGTATGCTCTTTAACTATGCTGTTTCTGAACAAGTTTATTTTCTTCAAGTTTGTTTTGCCCTGATAGTGGCGACTGCCATTTTAGAGACGAGCCATTGTGGCTTAGTGGCTAGAGTGCAGGACTAGGACCTGGGAGACAGGGTTCATATCCCACACTTAGCCATTGTTATAACAAAACAAAAAACAAAACAAAACAAAACACTGCTCTTTGTGGACTATTTTGTTGCTGGGTAGTTTGGCCCATTTGTGATATTGCTCCCAAAAAGAACTTTGGGTTTCTTGAGGGGGTGCTTCCCTCTAAAAGGGCAAGCAGGGGTACCTGGACAGGTGGTGGGCTGCCTCAAGTCTGTTCTCTCACTGGACACATTTATGTCTGGCCTAGCAGGTGATCCTGGGGCTTGGCCCGTTTTGCCCTAGAATTTGATGGCCTCTGGCAGTGTTTCCAGCCTGCTTTCTACCTTCTGCCCGGGGCCTTCTTCATCAGGGGCCTTCCATCTCTAGTAAAGAGGGAGAGGATTTTCCTCCTTCTGGGCCCCTTTTTTTCTGATTCACAATTTTTCCAGAACCGAGCTAGGTCCTTAGGGAGGAAGGTAGCGTCCCCATGTGGTGCACGAAGCATTGGTTTCACCGGTTCCTCACATTGTTTAGTTTTTTGCAGACTATGGCAGGGCTTTTGCAGATACCTCCAGAGCTTGCCTCTCCTGCAGAGGATGACTTGCTGATGCCCCAGGTGCCTTCTTCCGGAAGGAAGCGTCCTCGGAGGCGGCAATCCAGGAGGAGGGCAAAGAGGAGCAGGGAACGTGATTCCACTTCCTTGTCAGGTACATCATTCCTGAGCTCTGATGACGATTTCGACGTCAACTTGGACCTCAACGGGGGTCAGGGTGAGGCTGACCTGGGTCTTTAGGGATCATCCTGGATAGCTTAGCTGGTCAGCACATAGTGCCGGTAATGCCTAGGTTGCATGATTGGTCTCTGTATGGGACAGCTGCATGATCCCCCATCGTTCTACGGACACTGAAGTCCAGCGCCGAGGGCCTTCTGGTGGTTCCCTCACTGCGAGAAGCCAAGTAACAGGGAACCAGGCAGAGGGCCTTCTCGGTAGTGGCGCCCTCCCTGTGGAACGCCCTCCCACCAGATGTCAAAGAGAACAATAACTAGCAGACTTTTAGAAGACATTTGAAGGCAGCCCTGTTAGGGAAGCTTTTAATGTTTGATGCATTACTGTATTTTAATACTTTGTTGGAAGCCGCCCACAGTGGCTGGGGAAGCCCAGATGGGCAGGGTATAAATAATAAATTATTATTATTATTATTATTATTATTATTATTATTATTATTATTATGGAGTGGACTAGATGATCCTTGGGGTCCCTTCCAACTCTACGATTCTATAAGTGGCAATTCACTATGATGGGAATGTTAGACGTAGGGCTGCCATCATCCCCACGGCTCGCTGGGATTGCAGGGACGGGGACATGTGGACCACTTGCGCAGCTCCACATTTCGAATGGAAATTCCCTGAGCAATAGAACCTGAAGCTGGTATGCAGGCAGCTGGCCCGGTGGCAGCTTTGTTGGGACTTCTTTAGGGGTTCTGGCCAGCGTTGGCCCTGTAAATTCACACTTCATAGCGGCAGCACAAGACGCCCCCTGCCCAAGCGGTGGCTGGGGGCTGTGAAGCAATAGCTCAATACCTCTTGCCCACATTCCCATAAAATTATCTCCCTTGAAAGCCTGGCTAAAAGGTTTTCCAGATGGGTCAGCGGCTTTGTGCTTGTGGGAAGGGTTTTCCCAAGGTTTAGGATTCCTCTGGCTTTTCAGCCAGTGGCTCAGAATACAGCAAATCAAAAGTCAGTTAGAGAGCTACCTGAGGTAGCCAGAAAGAAGGTTAGGAAGCAGCTTGCATTGGGACGTATGGTGGGATCCCCTTGATTCTCCTTCTAGTCCCGATTTGCATTTATCCCCATTGGGGATCGCCCTAAGAAATTCCCATATAATTCCATCTGATCCATATTTATCGCATCCCAAAGGCACCTCAGTGAATGATGCTATCCCTCCGGAATTGTTCCGTGAAATACGCGTCTCGGGATCAGGCAGTTGAGGTTACCAACAAATTGGAAGAGGTGCCTTGTTGGCAATATGTGATATTGAATCGGCCATTAGGCTGCTGCTGATTCACCCTTGAGATGTTAAGTGGTTGGGCTTTAATTTCGATGGAGCTCCTTATAGTGATAAGGCGATGCTGATGGATTGCGCTATAGCCTGTGCAGCACTCGAGTGCTTTAGCGCCTTCTGGATTGAACATTGCGAGTCAAGACTCGTTTAACTGGGGGTACCATTAATTGGATTATTTTACTGGCTGGTTCATGTGACACCAGCCTCTGCGTAGGCTTACTGGACGCCCTTTATTCCCCCACTGAGGAGCTGGGTGTTCCGTTGGCAGTGGATAGGACAGTGGGTGCTACTGCCGCTTTTAACATATTTGGGGGCTAGCTACCATATTTTTCGCTCTATAGGACGCACCGGACCATAGGACGCACCTTGTTTTAGAGGGGGAGAACAAGAAAAAAAAATTATCCCCCTCTCTGCTCAGCGCCCCTTCAGCGAAGCAGCAGGAGAAACGGAGCCCCTTCCACTTCTCCTCCCGCTTTGCTGAAGGGGCGCTGCGCAGCTCTCCCTCTCTGCTGATGCCAGGAGAGTCTTGCTCTCCCGGCTTCAGCGAAAGAAACCCGAAGCCTGCGGAGCGCAGTGGGAACTCGCGCTGCACTCCAAAGGCTTCAGGCAGCTATCCCTGAAGCCTGGAGAGCGAGAGGGGTTGGTGCGCACTGCCCCCTCTTGCTCTCCAGGCTTCAGCGAAAGCAACGCAGAGCGCGGAGGGAGCGCTCCCTCTGCGCTTCAGAGGTTTCGCATTGCTATCGCTGAAGCCAAGGAGCCTACATTCACTCCATAGGACGCACACACATTTCCCCTTAATTTCTGGAGGGGGAAAAGTGTGTCCTATATAGTGAAAAATACGGTAGATACCATTGCTCAAACATCTGCTTGCCTGTGGAAAGCTGTTTCCCTTGAAGGAAGTTATTCTTGTAATACTTCCTCTGAAGCAAGTGTTGCTTTGTCAGATCCTATCATTGCTAGGTCAGTTAAATTTTGCATGCAGGGTGGTTGCTCCAGGCTGCCCCTTCCATTCCTGCTTGGCCAGGTGGTCTCATGGCCCGGGGTCCCTTCATCATCATGTAGACTGGCCTTGAGCCTGACAGGGCAAGGCAATCACATGTGACCTAACTTTTCTTGAGTTTTCCCCATTGTAGTGGCAGTGCACATCTGGACTGAGGAGTTCAGGGACCATCGGGTTGGAGCCAGTACGGGGCTGTGAGTCTGGAGGCTTATTGCCTCAGGACTTTTCCTTATCTGCTTTGGAGCTTGTCATTGGTGTCTGGAGCTCTAAGTCAGACCTCGTGGGCAGGGTTGCCACCATCAGGCTTCTGGTCACAGGTGAGGCGGGCCCTTGCCCTGTTATGGATACCAGAAATATTTGGCTTTTCATTCCCCTGGGGGCTGGCTCGCTCCTAGTGCACGAAAATGGGTTCTCGTTAGACAGGCATCTAATTGCTCATGTCGTGCGCCAGTTATTGCAGCCTGCGGCTTTAGCCACTGCCCAGCTGCCACCAAGAGGGCTGGAAAGCGTGTGGATAGCAGAGTGGCCAAGAAGGTCCTTGCCTTGGGAGGTGCGGTTGTCCGCCATGCAGGCCAGGAAGTGCACTAATAGTGCTGTGGCTAAAAGGGTTTAGTCTTGGGGGCGGTGCTTAATTTTGCACCCTGACATTACCATCAATGCTTCTTCTTTTTACAGGGATGATGGAGTGCACCTCTCTCCAGCTGGTTATGACATCTGGTTTACTGCTGTGTCGTTGGGGTTGAGGAATTGGGTGCAGTGGTGAGTGGTTTGGCAGCGAGCTCTCAGTGCTTGTTTTGGCGGTTAGGCATTGGTTAATTTTTGGTTGGTGGAGGGAATGTGGTTGGCAGTGCCTGCTCCTCCAATGCTGCTGCTGCAAGGGAATTCCGTTAAAGGAATCCAGGGGCTCACCATGCTTTCGTCCGAATCCCTGGCGTGGGGCTTGGGCCGCGCAAGCTCCTGGGAGCATGCGGTGAGAGGTGAGGGCCTGGGGCTCAGCTCCATTTTCTCCCCAATATTGTTTTCCCTTACTGGCTTTCGCTGGAATCCACAAGTCAGTTCTAACAGATAGTCGGAACCAATGCCTAAGCAACCACTCACATTTATGTATTTTAATAAAGTTGTAGCCAAAATTATGCCAAAATGTTGGGAAACATTCTGCACAGAAACAGTAAAGATGTTTGTACCTTTAAGAACAGTTTTTGTGAGCTCTGGGCTAATTGGTTGCAGCTGGCCATGGCTACAAAAAGAGAAAAGCTGCAGTTTGAACTCTGCCTGCAGAAAAACACCCACAAGCTTACTGTTTGTTGTTTTGAAATAAAAACTTTATTTTATTTGGTTTTACACTGGTCTCATGGTGTCACAGTCTTCTGTCATCTGCCACCAGTGGAAAATCCCCCTCTAACACAAAAACCTTAAACAAAAATTCTGTGTGAATTGTGATTTATTTGGGGGTGGCTTGGGGACCTCGACACGCAAAATCTTCTACAGCAAACTATTGGTAGTAGTTTGAAAGAAATCATTAATAAGTTTAATGTCTGATGATATTTAACACCCACGGAGATCAAATAATATCTGTAGAGGTTCTAACAATTTATGTTGGAGATATAAAGGAAACCAAGGTAATATATAACATATTTTTGGTCTCTGTTCCCAAAAAGATCCTTCTGATCCGCTATAATAAGAGAAAATGAAGTCCCAACTAGATGTGATCTAGCCATGGAGTCATTAAGTCATACCGTTTGAGTCTGTTAAAAGATCTTTTATTAGAGAAAGAGTGATGGTAATACATCAGTTAACCATATTGGTGGCTAGGAAGAAAAATAAGTATATAAAGGAAGAATTCCTAGATGCCAAGATCCAGGTAGGGGGCAAGTGCTCTTTGGTAAGAGAACCCCAGTAGCTATTTAAAATCACAAAACGCGCAGCAAAATAAAGCATGGAAATATAGGCTGTTAGATCTTTAAAATATGCCCTTCCAAGTTCCTTCCAAAGTTTCCCCCTTCCACTAGCATAGAAAAAGACCACACAGTTGTAAGTTAACAATGGTTTACTTACAAATTCTCCAAAAGTCAGTTTCATGTGCCTTTCTGTTCAGCATTGAGAAATAGCTGCACAGGCAGAATGGCTTGGTTACAGTGGTGGAAATTCCTAAATTTATAGGAACTCAAAAGACACTTGTTAGACCCATGTGGTTTGAGCTCAGATTTGCTCACAAACTGAGCTTCTCAGGTAGACTGGAGGTGCAACAATAGGCTTGATTACCTTCCTCCCAAGGTGAGGGGGACTGACCTAGCTAAGCCTGTCAAGACAGCTTGCCCCATGGCATTCACTCCCTTGTGCATTAATCAGACTTAAACCGATGTTAGATAATTATAACTGGGGGCGAGTACTAATATTGGAGAGCTGGATATCATGAATATGGAAAGTGGTACAAATGATAAAATTAAGGGAAGGAATTCAGTGACTGCTTCACTGAGAGGTGCTGCTCTGTACTATGCATTGGTGCAACAAACACAAGATAATCTTGAACCATACAAATTTCTGAGAACAGTTTAGTTTTATATTGTATAAATTATGTACAATAGCTTAAAAGTAATCTCTGTATTATTTCTTTTTGATGTCATTGTTTCCTACGCTACATTGTTTTGTACTGTAGTTTTACTGCAAAAAATTAAAAGACGGGTGCCTGCCTCTGTTCTAAGTTTAAATTCATCAGTATGGTCAATCCTGCTTCAAAACAATGTATAAATCAAATAAGACCAATACCACAACTGCTTCAGCAGCTTTTCACACCTGCTGCCAAACCAATTATGTACTTTCTGGATATATAAACGTTGATTTCACATATGCGCACATTATGTTTTTCAGGTTTCTGGCGTGCTTCTTGTTGTTTAGTAGTCCCTAAGTGATCACAACTAAGGAGTGCAATTCCATCCAAGTGCCCATCAGCATGCTAGCCTATAAACACTGTTAATAAGTACAGCTAATAAAATCCAGTTTATTAGCCACCTTTTTGTAATATTTTTTGCAGCCTTCATTGACAAAAATAAATCCTCAGCTATTCCAGTGCCAGCTTCATTCACTCTCCTGTAATGTGGCAAGTAATTAAATCCTTATAGCAACAGCAGGGGTTTCATTGCCTAGCAGAAGCTCATCTTCTCTGCCTTTCCCTGATCCAGTGAGATAATGTTTTAAATGCTAGTCCATTAAGGCCTCAACAACTAAACTTTTAGTTCATGATCTGCCAGTTGAACATTTTATGTTCGCTGACTCCCTTTGTTCCATTGACCTTCCAAAATACCATCATCTGTAGATTATCATCCCATCTTTCTAGGACCTTCTGCGTCTCTTCTCGTGGGTCTTGCACCTTTTTGACTTTTACTCTTCTCAGGAGAGAGAGCCAGGCACCTTTCTTATTCACACCACTTCATTTAGGTGTAAAATGGTCAGTGGGTGTGACTCCCACCCTTCAGAATTGAGCCTCTCCCCATCTAAGTGGCTCACACATGGGAATTCTCCAGACAGGTGAAAAAGCAAACAAACATATCTGCCCCATCATATCTAGTTTTGCTGCTGCAGTTCAAGGTCAGCTGCACTCTAATAATAATAATAATTTATTATTTATACCCCGCCCATCTGGCTGAGTTTCCCCAGCCACTCTGGGCGGCTCCCAATCAGTGTTAAAAACAGTACAGCGTTACATATTAAAAACTTCCCTGAACAGGGCTGCCTTAAGATGTCTTCTGAATGTCAGGTAATTATTTATCTCTTTGACATCTGATGGGAGGGCGTTCCACAGGGCGGGCGCCACTACCGAGAAGGCCCTCTGTCTGGTTCCCTGTAGCCTCACTTCTCGCAATGAGGGAACCGCCAGAAGGCCCTCGGCGCTGGATCTCAACCAACTCTGACCAAGCGGCACAGTTGGCACCAGTTCAGCCCAGCCACCGGGTCTGTGGATACTGGGGTTTTAAGACCTTGCTATGGTATAATTGGTCTCTGTATTCGCGGCTGGGAAGGAATCTGCATGTAAACAAATTGGGCCCGTTTAGGGTGTTTGCCTTCCTCATATCAATCACCACAACTTTGGGTTGAATCCCGGAGTCTGTTTTCTGGGAGGGGGCGAAGTGGTGCATCACCCTCTTTCCTTCCCACAGGTGTGATATCTCCAGGTACCCTGTTAAAGGGCTCTGCGTGCAAGTTCCGCCCTGAAGCCTAGATGGGAGCAGATGGGCCACCAAACTTCCAGGGGACAGTCTGGGGAACTAGCTGAGTTGACTTGCATCTGGAGGTGGCCATTAACCCAGGCATGACCCAGGCAGGAGAACTGATCAGGATTTGAGCTGACAAAATCAAGAGAATCTGCGCAGGGGAGGAGAGGTATTTGCAGGTTTCTGCAACTGACATAAACTTCTCCTTCCTGTGTGCAAAATGCTCACACCACAGCCTCTGGGAATAGTAGAGCATTAGCAGCTATGAAACAATGGCTGTCTGTTTCCTGCTTGCCTTTTCCAGTCTGCTGAGGTGTCAGCAGATACTCACTATAAAAGGGAAATGTATCTGTGAAGACCTGAGATTCAGCCCTGTGCAGAGATAGGAAAAGCAAGGTAGCTATGAGAGAGGAAGGATCAATTCACTCTGTTAATTTTTACACATAGAATAGAATAGAATAGAATGTTCATCAATAGCTACCATGTCCCAAACAATATCAGAATGGAGGGTCACTAATGGAGCAGAACTGGAGAAACCCACTCACTGCTATGATTGACAGCACTGCCATGTCTTGGGTGCCCCTCAGGGTTGAGTCCAGCATCACCTTCCTTCCAGGTGGTTTCTGGGCCCCAGGATCCAAGACAATGCCAAGCTGGTGCCAAGCATGTTATTCTACTTTCATTTGGAGCACGTCCTCGAGGCCAAGAGGGGGTCTTGTCATCTGAGCAGCCCAGAACCTCCATCCACACTTCCCAGTCTTGCCCCCCGGGAGGTCACTTTGGTGCTGGTAAAGCAGAAATTTGATTTAACCTTGGAAGTGCATTCCAATGTCTCTGGAGACAGACGGATGCCAACAACAATATAGAATCATAGAATCATAGAGTTGGAAGAGACCACAAGGGCCATCGAGTCCAACCCCCTGCCAAGCAGGAAACACCATCAGAGCACTCCTGACATATGGTTGTCAAGCCTCTGCTTAAAGACCTCCAAAGAAGGAGACTCCACCACACTCCTTGGCAGCAAATTCCACTGTCGAACAGCTCTTACTGTCAGGAAGTTCTTCCTAATGTTTAGGTGGAATCTTCTTTCTTGTAGTTTGGATCCATTGCTCCGTGTCCGCTTCTCTGGAGCAGCAGAAAACAACCTTTCTCCCTCCTCTATGTGACATCCTTTTATATATTTGAACATGGCTATCATATCACCCCTTAAACTCCTCTTCTCCAGGCTAAACATGCCCAGCTCCCTTAGCCGTTCCTCATAAGGCATCGTTTCCAGGCCTTTGACCATTTTGGTTGCACTCCTCTGGACACGTTCCAGTTTGTCAGTGTCCTTCTTGAACTGTGGTGCCCAGAACTGGACACAGTACTCCAGGTGAGGTCTGACCAGAGCAGAATACAGTGGCACTATTACTTCCCTTGATCTAGATGCTATACTCCTATTGATGCAGCCCAGAATTGCATTGGCTTTTTTAGCTGCCGCGTCACACTGTTGGCTCATGTCAAGTTTGTGGTCAACCAAGACTCCTAGATCCATCTTGTTTTTGTGCCTCTCATTTTTTTTGCCCAAGTGCAATACTTTACATTTCTCCCTGTTAAAGTTCATCTTGTTTGTTTTGGCCCAGTTCTCTAATCTGTCAAGGTCGTTTTGAAGTGTGATCCTGTCCTCTGGGGTGTTAGCCACCCCTCCCAGTTTGGTGTCATCTGCAAATTTGATCAGGATGCCCTTGAGTCCATCATCCAAGTCATTGATAAAGATGTTGAATAAGACCGGGCCCAAGACAGAACCCTGTGGCACCCCACTAGTCACTCTTCTCCAGGATGAAGAGGAACCATTGATGAGCACCCTTTGGGTTCGGTCAGTCAGCCAGTTACAAATCCACTGAGTGGTAGCATAGTCAAGACCGCATTTTACCAGCTTCTTTACAAGAATATCATGGGGCACCTTGTCAAATGCCTTGCTGAAATCAAGGTAGGCTACATCCACTGCGTTCCCTTCATCTACCAGGCTTGTAATTCTGTCAAAAAATGAGATCAGGTTAGTCTGACATGACTTATTTTTCAGAAATCCATGCTGACTATTGGTGATCACAGCATTCCTTTCTAGGTGCTCACAGACTGTTTGCTTAATGATCTGCTCCAGAATCTTCCCTGGTATTGATGTCAGACTGACTGGGCGATAATTATTTGGGTCCTCTCTTTTCCCCTTTTTGAAAATAGGGACAACATTTGCCCTCCTCCAGTCTGCCGGGACTTCGCCTGTTCTCCAGGAATTCTCAAAGATGACTGCCAGTGGTTCTGAAATCACATCTGCCAGTTCTTTTAATACTCTTGGATGCAGTTCATCTGGCCCTGGAGACTTGAATACATCTAGACTAGCCAAGTATTCTTGTACTATCTCCTTAGTTATTCTGGGCTGTGTTTCCTCTGCTGAATCATTTGCTCCAAATTCTTCAGGTTGGGCATTGTTTTCTTTATCGGACAAGACTGAGGCAAAGAAGGCATTGAGGAGTTCAGCCCTTTCTGTGTCCCCTGTTTGCATTTCACCATCTTCTCCTCTGAGTGACCCCACTGTTTCTTTGTTCTTCCTTTTGCTACGAACATACCCATAAAAGCCCTTTTTGTTGCTTTTAACGTCTCTAGCAAGCCTGAGTTCATTCTGTGCTTTAGCTTTTCTGACTTTGTGTCTACACGTGCTGGCTATTTGTTTGAATTCCTCTTTGGTGGTTTCCCCCCTTTTCCATTTTTTGTACACATCCTTTTTTAATCTTAACTCAGTTAAAAGTTCTTTAGATAGCCACCCTGGCTTCTTTAGGCACCTTCCATGTTTCCGTCTCATTGGTATTGCCTGAAGTTGTGCTTTTACTATCTCCCTCTTAACAAACTCGCAGCCATCATGAACTCCCTTTCCTTTTAGTATTACTGTCCATGGGATCTCACCCAGCACTTCCCTAAGTTTTATGAAGTCGGCTTTCTTAAAGTCAAGAAATTGAGTCCTAGTATGCTTGGCTGCTCCTTTCCGCTGTATAGTAAACTTCAGAAGAGCATGATCACTCGCGCCTAATGATCCTTCCACTTCTACCCCACTAACCAGGTCCTCAACATTGGTTAGGACCAGATCTAAAATGGCTGTTCCTCTTGTTGCTTCTCCCACTTTCTGGACAATGAAGTTGTCTGCAAGGCCAGTGAGGAATCTGTTTGACCTTATGCTCTTGGCTGAGTTTGACATCCAACAAATATCCGGGTAATTGAAGTCCCCCATTACTACTATCTCCCTTCCTTTTGCATGCTTGGCCATCTGTTCCAGGAAGGCATCATCTATGTCCTCCGTTTGGCTTGGGGATCTATAGTAAACTCCCACAATGAGGTCTCTGTTATTCTTCTCTCCCTTAATTTTGACCCAAATGCTCTCACTTTGGCTTTGAGGTTCTAAATCTTGGATCTCTTCACAGGTATACACATCCCTGACATATAACGCCACTCCTCCTCCTTTCTTGTCTGGTCTGTTTCTCTGAAATAGATTGTATCCCTCCATTATTACATTCCAATCGTGGGACTTATTCCACCAGGTTTCAGTGATGCCTATTATGTCATATTTAGTTTGCTGTACCAAGAGCTCAAGCTCATCTTGTTTATTTCCCATGCTTTGCGCATTAATATAAAACTCTACTCCTCACCCCCTCCCCAAATAACTGTGTACTTTTACTTATTATTATATTTTTTTTACTGTCTTCTGTGCTTTGGTTTCTCTTGGGTTTTCCTTTGCTGTTGCACTTTC